CTGTCTGTCTGCATGGAGCCCCCCTTCCCCCAGGGCACTGCTCCCTCTGTCTTGCTCCACAACTTGGCACCTGCCCCTGAGTGGCTGAGCCCAAGGACATGCCCTGCAGTTTGGCCATCTTCACCTTTCCTGGGGTTTGGCCTCACTACACTCAGGTCCCCTCACTACCAGGCTTCCTCATTACTAGAAGGCTCTGACCCCTGCCCTGTCCCCATTCCACAGATGGCTCCCCAGTGTCCCCTGAAGCCCCTGCCCTTGGCATTCAAGGCCTTCTCTGATCTGACCCTAATCTACTTCTCACACCCTCCGTCATATCCTTCACGGCTCAGTCTGAGTAGCTGCCACTTCCTGCTCTCTGGTGCACCTCCAAGTTGTGGTTTGGGCTCCTACTAGAAACTCCTGCTGGAATATTCTTCCTAATCTCTGTGTTGAAGCCTGCAAGGTCCAGCTCAAAGACCCCTGGGTGCCTTCTGCATGAACCTTCTCACTCTCCCAGCAGGCTGTGGCCACCCCTCAGCTCTTTGGGCTTCTCCTGGGATGTACTTTGCCTCCCAGATACTGTCAGTGTTATTCAGGGTCTGGAGTAGATCATGTGGCCGTTCCCAGTGCCTTGCCTCTCTCTGTACCTGTGACCTTTGCCCTGACTTTGTAGTTCTTCCCACTGGTAAGGGGAATATGTTTTCCTGCTCCTTGACTTTGGCTAAAAGCATGTGAGCAGAGGTGACAGTGTTCTGGTCCCAAGCACAGGTCTTAGGAGACTTTGCATGCTTCTGGTCTCCCTCTGGCCCTTGTGGCAGGGGAAGAATGTGCCTGGGATGGAGAACAACTGGACCCAACCTGTGGCCTGGGACACACTCAGCAGAGCCAGCCTGAATGAGCTGACTCTAGTCAGCCACAGACACAGCAGAAAGAAATGGTAACAGTTGCACGGCACTGAGTTTGGGAGATGTTTGTTAAGCAGCATTTGGTGGCCAGCTGACTGATAACAGGTCTTCCTCCCTTCCTCCCTGGGAGTTGCCTGGGTGTGGGGCACACACTTTGAACACCTGTGGCTGCTAGAGGCTTAATAAATTACCGGATAGCCAAGTTTAGTGCTATGTGACAGGGGTGCCCCACTGGGAGTGGCACCCAGTCTGTCAACAAAGATCCCAGCTCTTAGCGGTCATCACGAGAGGCCACAACATACACCTGCATGTCCATGTGAAGAGTCTACCCCAGGACCCATAGGGCAGGACAGCCAGCACCTGTGGGCACTGGGACACGGAGCTGCAAGGCTGAGAGTCTCCGGAACTTCTGGGTTTTTATCCAGAGGGTCCCTGGTGGGTGGACAACAGGCTGAACCCATGGGGTTCTGAGGGAGCGAGTGGGGTGGAAGACACACCTCCCCACAGTTACACCTGACAATTTTGTCTGCTTATCCGACCTCACCCCTCCCTGCCAAGGACCGAGATGCCCTGGGCTCTGTGAGGGTGCCGTTTAGGTGTGCACTTACTTGGCTTTGCTGGTCACACCCTGGGACAAGTACATACATTCAGTGGGGTGAGCTGCACCATCGTACGTTAGGGTGCAAATATTTCATCCAGTAAACAGTGGATTTGCAAGCCCAAGTTCATATCTAGCCAAAATTTCAGTAGAATCAGAATTGGAGGAGCAAAAGCTCCCAGGAAGTGCTAAAGGGCAGCCTATGGGCATGAGTGCTCTGGCCCACGGTCACCCTCAGGGCTGCCGAGGCTAGCACAGAGGGAAGAGTCCTGTGGGACCCAGGGTCAGTACTCGCACCCACTGCCCGCGACTCCCAGCTGGTGCATCAGCATCAAACACCCCCAAGTGCTGCCATCCTGGTTCCCAGCAGAGACCTCCCAGGCCTGGACACCAAGATCCCCAAACCCAGGAGGGCCTGCTGCCGAGAGCTGCGTGAGTACCTGTGAGCCCCAGGCTGGGGAGCTCGCTGACCGGCGGGTCTAGCTCTGACATTCTACTTCCTGGCATCAGAGATGGCACCAAGAACATGAGTCTCCTACTTACAAGTGAGGGAGGACAGGCTGGGCCGTAAGCCTGGGCCTCCTGAAGCCACGTCCTCTCACCAGGAAAACCCCCACAGGGAAGTGCAATGACACCGTGACCCCCCATTCCAAGTCCCATTGGAAGTATACCCCCCCTCCTCCACGAAGGCCTTTGACCCTGAGAGCTCTGTGAATTCCAAATCAGCTCAAACTCACAGGCAAAGGGAGGCACAAAGGGCTCACCACATCGTCCTTTGCTCTGAAAATGAGTAAAGAGCCCCAGCCCGCGACGGCAGGCAGGCCTCTCCCACGGCCTCATGAGTGAAGTTCAGTGGCGAGTTGGACAGAGTGCTAAGCAGGTGTCAGTCCATTTGCTCAAATCAAAGCAAACTCCCAGTAGGTTAACACAACCACACACCCGACATCACATGTCTCATCAGGACGCTGCATCATGCTCTGTGGGACAGCACAGACAGTGGTCAGCAGAGCCGGGGGAGGGGGGGTGCGTGGGTGGTGTTGCTTCAGAGAAGACACCAGCACCTGCTGGGGGTGGGTACAGACCTCCCACCCACGCCCCTGCCTCAGCTTGCTGGGCTTTAGAAGAACGAAGACTCATTACCTGTAAAACTGGAGCTGTCTTTTGGGACTCCCATACCGAGTACTTCGGACAGCAATGGAGGAAAGAGAAAAAAAAAGGGAGAGGGAGAGAAGAGAGACAGTCCACAACTGGCACCAGCCCCCAGGAGTGCAGCTCAGGCAGCATCACCCACACCTGCAGCCTCACCCGCCCGCCGCCTTCCGGGCCATCTCCGCAGCCAGCACCAAACGCTCTGCAGCGGCGCCACCGGGCGGCCATGTGTGGAGCCCCAGCCCGTTCCTACTGGATGCGGGGACCTTCCACGCCTGGCCCTATTTCCAACCACGTGAACCTGGGCGAGGGCCCTATAGCATTCTCTAACAGACTTCATAAAATGCCCAGGATGATGGTTGAAACCTCATGGCCAGGAGCACAGGTTAGCCCACGAGCTGGTGAACCTGCCCATGCCCATCCCTCCTCTGCAGTGTCCATAGACACCAGCTTTGGTTTGGGCTTAACAATGATCTAGGGGTCCTGCCCATGCTCTAGTCTTCACAGGTTCTGTGCTCTGTTCTGAGCCTTCCATGGCTGGCCCTGCTGTTCAGTGGTGGCTGTTGTGCAAATGGAACGCCCAGGTCTGTGTCTGCAAGTGGCCTTCACAGGAGGCAGTCAGGGGTGCCCTGTGAGCATCTGGCTGCCCCCACCTCTCTGGGCTTGCGAAAGTGGGCAGATGTGGTACCCAAAGGCCTGCAAGGCTTTGAGCCTGGCTTGGGGCACTGGGGGTGCTGGGCACACTAGGGGATCACAGGGGCCACACAAGCCAAGGTGTGGGGAGCGTGTGGTACAGGATGTAGGCAAGGGCCCTGTGTGCACTCTCGGGTCTCTCTGTCACCTGTGGGCAAAGTGTTTCAGGAGAGTCAGGCATAAGAAAGGCGTCTATCCTGGCTCAATCCCACCGGAAGAGCTTCGCTGTTTCTCTCCCACTGGTTTTTAAAGCTTTTGTCCCTTTCCAGGAGAAAATGGTCACCAGTGTGCACTTCTCAGCCCTATGCCAGGCAGAGCCCGTGGGCCCCACTTGGTGCTTCCCTCCTCCCAACAGGAGGGCAGCAGTCTTGGGGACCCCTCCTCAGAGGCAGGACGGACCCTGGGAGGGGGCTGGGGCAGGGGTCGGGGGTCACCTGTATAGCATCCCGGGGGAGCCCGTCTGCCGCTGGGAGAGCCGTGCTGGGGAGCCCGTTGTCGATTCTGGATACATGGAGCCGGCCTCACTTATCCAGACCTGCTCGGTTTTTCACGGGCAGAAAATTCTGGAAGAAAAGAAAAATGAGGAAGAGGAAGGTGGTGGTTAAAAGAGATCGAATAGGTTTGGCCAGGAGGCCCCATGATTGTAAGTGCCCAGCAGGCCGAGTTCACAGGGCATCTGTGCACCCCTCACCAGACAGGCTCAGACAGGGCTGGTGGCCAGGTACAATGACCATGAAGATTCCCCCCCACACCTCACTATGCCATCTGAAGTGGCCTGTGGTCCTTCTGCACCTCCCTGACTGCTTTTCTAAAACCCTAGGAGAGGCTTCTGCTGCCCACAGTGTGCAGAAGGGACAGCCCAGAGGGCACCAGTGCCCTCTCCTCCCAGGCAGTGACACTGCTGTACCCCAGGGTCATCCTGACACCTTCCCTGGCCCTGGTCCAGTCCATCACAGCCTCCAGTTCCTTTGCAGCCCCTCCCCTCCAGTGTGGCTGGTGACATTTCTAACCAGCAGGAGGGACCCAGGTTGTGGTTTCTGTCTTGCTGGCGGCCACTCCCTCCCTGGCTCTAGCTGGCTTGCTAGAGAGGCCCACGAGGCAGGAACTGAGGGCAGCCTCTGGCCAACAGGAGCTGAGCTCTTGGTCCAGTAGCTCAGAAGTGAGTCCTTCAAACAAAGGGGGTCAAGGGTCATCTGTACAGCATCCCGGGGGAGCCCATTTGCCACTGGGAGAGTCAGAAAGCAGATCATTCCTCAGTGGCAGCTTCTGATGAAAGCCTAGCCCTGGCCAGCACCTTGACCTCAGTCTGGGGCTGGTGGAGGTTGGGGGGGTGCTGGAGCAGCAGACCCAGCCCAGCTCTACCTGAATGCCTGACCCACAGAAACTGTAACCCATTGGGCTGTTTGGAGCTAAGTTTGTGGTTATTTGTTACAGCAGCAGTAGATGGTGAGGATGAGGGCCAACACCCTGCTGTCCTCCTCTTCCCCCACCGCCCCCTGCCGAGCCTCTGCTGGAGCCCTGGGTGGCATCCAAACTACTCCCCTGCTCAGCCCCACTCCCCTCACCACACCCACAGCCTGGGGCTTCTATGTGAGCACAAATCTGGTCTTGGCAGCACTGTCCTTCCCACCCTCCTCCTCGCACACAGTGACCCAGGCCCTTAGTGAACTGCTCCCCCTCCCACCTCTGCCCCTGCTCAGGCCCAGCCACGCAGTCTCATCCAGCAGGCCATTCTCACTCCCTCCAGGGTCCCTGCACTGGCAGTTCCTTCTCTCTGTGGTGCCCTTAGCACAGCCCTCCTCAGTGGGCCCGCTGCTTGCGTGATCCCTCCCCACTCCCCAGACAATACCAGCCACCCTTACTGTCAGCACACGGGTCTATGGTAGCCCAGCTCCCTTTCAAGTGTGAGCTCCCTTGAACAGGCCTGGAGGCTAGAAGTGTGAGGGTCCCCCCGTGCAAAATCACATGGTCCTGTAGCCCTGGGCAAAGGGATCGTCTGGGCTCAGAACACAATCCAGGCAGGGTGGTATTCCAGGAGCCCAAGACAGGAGGATCGCTTGAGCACAAGAGTTTGAGTAACAGACTCGGCGCTTGTGGCTCAAGTGGCTAAGGTGCCAGCCACATACACCTAAGGTAGCGGGTTTGAATCTAGCCCGGGCCTACCAAACAACAATGATGGCTGCAACCAAAAAAAAATAGCCAGGCGTTGTGGCGGGCACCTGTGGTCCCAGCTACTTGGGAGGCGGAGGCAGGAGACTTGTTTGAGCCCAGGAGTTGGAGGTTACTGTGAGCTGTGATGCCACTTACCCAGGGCAATAGCTTGAGGCTCTGTCTCAAAAAAAAGAGTTTGAGTAACAAAGCCAGAGCCCATCTTACAGAAAATAAAAAAAATTAGCTGAGTCTGATGGTGTCTGCCCATAGGCCCTGTGGTCAGGAGGCTGAGGTGGGAGGACTGCATGAGCCCAGGAGTTCAGGGCTGCCATGAGCAATGATTGCGCCATGTACCCCAGCCTGGGTGACAGAATAAGACCCCATCTCTAATAACAAAACCACACAAAATATGACCTGTCCCACTCACAAATGGCCCTAGAAACTGGTGGGGAACCTGAGGCTGAGTCAAGTCTGATCTGGAAGGCTCTGACAGCTGATGCTGCTTTCCTCTGCAGAGCAGTCCCCAGGAAGCTGGCTTCCTCCGCCACTCTCTGCCTGCTAATAACCAGGGTCTCCTCAGGATGAGGGGTGGGAGCCTGTGTGTGTGTGGACCTGCCAGAAAAACAGGTTCAGAAAACATAGCAAAGATTCCCCACCATGACAACCCACAGCAAGTGACAGGTGAGGGTCCCCTGGAGTTTTATTCATAAAGAACCTCACAGAGAATGGAGTCACGAGTGAAATACAATGCGCTTATTAAATCCTCGTGATAAGTGCAGCAGACGCCTGGCTGATTTTTACCCATCTCCTGGCTCATTGGGGGCACTCCTGGAACTGCAGTGATGTGACCCTGGGCAAACCTCTCCCCATGGGGCTCCAACACACTCGTTTCATACTAGTCCTGTCCAGTGGGGTGGCCCCTGGAGAGGCAGACCTGGATGGACAGGGAAGGCCTTCCTGATCACCATTTCCTGTGGCTCCTTTGGGGCCACTGGTACTCAGAGGCCCTAACCAGATTCCCACCTGCCCAGGTCTGCACTGTACACCCCTCACTGGCAGGACAGCAGGACTCAGCTACAGAGCCCTGAGTCGCTGATGGACCCGGCACTTCTGGGCCCTGAGCTGGCTGGTTGCCCACCTCTTCTGCAGAAAGTGCTGGTTACCCAGCTTTGGGGCATATCAAGCCCCGGGCATTGGGGCTGGGCCTGTGAGGACAAAATGCAGGGGGCTCATTGAGGGCCAACCCTCCCTGAGCTCACTTCATTTTGTCCTCACAGGTGACTGAGGCAGGAAATCCAATCATCTGGCTAAGGTCATTAAAAAGCTGGTGTGCTTTCAGGCAGAGGACGGTATATGTTCCTCAACACACCAAGCGCTGGCTGAGGCCCTACTGTGTGCAAGTGCTGCAGGGTTACTGCATGAGCAAGAGTCCCTGCCCCTAAGGCACACCCAGGCGTCTTGGGGACACAGGCGGGAAACTGGCCACAGAATGGAGGGTGCTACAGAGCACCAGGCATAGGCTTGCAGGGAGCAGAGCCATCATCCTGGCCAACGCCAGGGAGTCCTGCATGGAGGACATGTAAACGAACGTGGTCACTGGGCCACGGGGAGAATGGGAGGCAGGATGTCCTCACACAGGCTTGCAGAAGGAGCTGGGGGCTGGGATCCCTGTACCCATAATGGGGTGTGTGGCCCTCTCCTCTTTGGTTTTCCCTGGGTGCGCCTGCCGAGTGGTGGCACTCAGGGGTATTTAACTTCTAGAATTCTGGAATCTCAAACTCATCTAACACTTGAAAAAGTTTGGAGACCAAGAGGCTCTGGCTCCACGGATGTGGGGTAGGGCCCTAGTAAAGGTGAATGTGTGGGCTCAGGGTCTACACTCAGAGCCTCTGGCCTGGAGGCTGGGTCCTAGACCAGCAGGCCCCATCCACCTTTTTTGTAAATAAAGCTTTATCAGAACATCTCCATGCCATTTCTTTACAAATCACCTGAGGCTGCTTCTGAGCTACAGCACTGGCAGGGTTGAGCAGCTGCAGCACAGACTGGCAGGTTGGCAGAGCCTAAAATATTCACCGTCTGGCCCTTTATGGGAAAAGTTTGCTGACTGCTGCTTTGGGCCACTCTCTCTCCTACTCCCAAGGGAACACCTGCCACGCAACTCCTGAAATCACCAACACTTCTCCCTTCTCTCACCTCTGATCTCGCCGCTTCCTAGAGCACTGAGCGAACAGGAGTGAGCAGGAGCCAGCCTGCCCAGACCCACCCCCAGCAACCAGCACCCTGAGCTTTCTGCCTCCCTCCCGCAGAGAACCAGGGAACTGGCCACACGACATCCACACCCCACGCAAGGGCGTCCTGCAGCCCCTCCTCCTCCACGACGCCCCGTACCTGTATACAACACATTACTGCTTCTCTCATCTCAGAAAACAAAAAGCACAGTTTCCTGGACCCCTTCCTTCTCCACTTTGGCCTATTTTCTCTCCTTCCATTCACAGGAAAACTCCTCAAGCTGTCCTTACTGTCCTCTGCAATTCCTCTCTTCCTCTCACTTCATAAACTCACTCTATCAGCCTCCCCCCGCCCCCACTCAGTGGAAGCCACTCTCACCAAGGTCGCAGTGACCTCCCTGTTGCTAAGTCTGATGATGCCCATGGAATTGGGGTGACGGTGGTGCTGCCTGAGGTCCTCTTGGCCCCCAGGCCCCCATGCTCTCCAGTTCTCCCACCTGTCTGGCCGCCCTTTCTCAGCCCCCAGCTGCTTCCTGCTCATCTCTGAGGCCTCTACCTTGGTGCCTCCCAGGCTCAGACCAGGAACCACTTTTCTTTTCCATCCATACGAAGCCTCCTGGACTTCCACCGTCTCCTGGCTCTCAGCTGTCACTATGCACACCCCACGTTTACATCCCCACCCCTGAGCCCCAGACTTGTTCATTCCACTGCCTGCAGAGTGTCCACAAGGGCGTGGAACGAGGGCCTCAGGTCCACGTGCTGGACACAGAGCTCCCAGCAGACCATGGGCTGTTCTCCCCCATCCACCAGCCCCCATCCTCCCAGGTGCTCAGCCCAAGTTTCCCGGAGTCATCCCAACTCCTTTCTTCCCCCGACATCCCACATGCAATCGTCACTGGACCGGGATCCCATTCTCCAACCCGTGCAACTCAGGCCACCGCCTGCCCCTCTTGTTGGTCCTCAAAGCAGCTTCCCACAGGCCTCCTGGCCTCCACCTTTACCCCAACAGGCTGCTCAGAGGGCCAGGAGGGCCTTGTAGAATGGAAGTCAGACCATCTCATTACTTTGCTCACAACCTTCCAGTGGCTTCCATTCTATCCAGAGTCAGAGCCCAAATCTCAACAGTAGCCTCCAGGCCCTGCTGTCTGACCTTCCGAGCTCACCCCTGCAGTGGCCCTTGCTCA